ACACTGAGGGTTGCGATCCGTTGCCAGACACAGAAAAAGACAAAAAGGAAAAAAAAAAAAAGATGACTGTTAAGGGGATCTTAACCCTTGACTTGGTGTTGTCAGCACCATACTCACCCAGTGAGCTAACTGGCCATCCCTGTATGGGATCCGAACCTGTGGCCTTGGTGTTATCAGCACCACACTCTCTCGAGTGAGCCACAGGCCAGCCCAGTTTATGTAAAACATTTTTAAAATCCAATTATAGACTGGGTAAGATAGTTGTTTTATTTTGTTACATTTTATGAACAAGAAATTTTTTTAGTTGAACTGTGATAATATTTGATATTTCTTATAAAGTAATTATTTTTGTCATTTCAAAATAGTCTAGTAAAGCATATGGTTAGGCTACAGATGTCTGAGAACTTAAATGCACTTTATTCTCTTCAAATAAATGTCATTCTTTTACACTGTACTGATAAACCCATACCACAACCACTTTCTGGTCAAATCTTAGGCAATGCAGTACAATGGTTAAGAGCTGGGCTCTGGGCTCAGATGGTTTGGGGTAGAACCATTATTTTACCTATTATTAGTTGTATATTCTTGGGCAGTTTACTTACCTTTCTGTTCTTTGGATTTCTCATTTGTACTTACCCCTTTCTGTACTTGTGTTGTGGAAACGGACTCGGTAAGAAGCGACCGTCACTCGGAAGGTTGGAGAGTCAGGAGTTTATTACACTAGCAGGCCCGGAGAGACTAATGCCTGAAAAATCTGGACCCTGAGCTCAGATCTCACACACAATTTTTATAAGCGGACTCTCCCTAGGCTTTTATACATTTTTTTTTTTTCAGCATTCACTAGGCTAGCAGTCTGTGCAGATAAGTGAGCTCTTGTTACAATAGCCAAAAATACAAGCAGTGATGAATAGCCAGAGTAGTGGAGCAAGCAAACATAGTTTCAAGGACAAGATATTACATCAAGAACAAATCAGGCTTATGAGAATATTATCTCAGCATTTTCCCCAACATAAGTATTTAATATGGTGTTTAATGTGTAGTAAGAATAAATGTTTGTAGTTATTTCAGATTCAGCATTTAGCAATTTACTATCAAATTATCATTGTTGTATCAGAAATACATTGTTCTTCTTTCTGTGTTGTGATTTTTAAGATTTTTTTTTTGCATTTTCAATGTAACTTTATTAAATGTTGGTGTCAAAATAGTTTTCAGAGGAACATCTCCCACAAATCAACCGATTTAAACTATAAAAACATAACATCAAGTGCATATGGAATGGGGAGACGTCCAGCGGTGGAGTCAGAAGCTCTGCGGAGACCACATGCACTGCAGGGCCGCCGTCGCACAATCCGGAAGATAGGCTTCACTGCTGCCACCCAGCTCCATTTCCAGCCCAGCCCAATGCACACAGAGTGGGGAGATGTCCGGCAGGGGAGGCGGAGGCTCTACAGAAACCACACACCCTGTGGGGCCTCCACTGCGTGATCCAGCACGTAGGCTTCACCGCAGGCACCCGGCTCCATTCCCAGCCTGGCCTAGTGCGCTCGGAGCAGGGAGATGTCCAGCAGGGGAGGCGGGAAATCCATGGGGAACACACTGCTGCCGTGCGATCCAGCAGCCCAGCCCAATGCATACGGAGCACAGAGATGTCTAGCAAGGGAGATAGAAGCTCCGTAGAGTCCACACACCCTGTTGGGGGGGGCCGCTGCTGCACGATCCAGAAGCAGGTAGGCTTCACTGCCGCCACCCGGCTCCATTCCAAGC